TGTTTGATTTTCCTACTGCCGAGACGACGTCGTAAAATTGCAACCGTCCGCATAGACGTCTGACAAACGTGCGATCCGTATTCCCTAGACACCCGATATAGTTTCGCATTCGCTTGGAACTCGGATAGGTGAACACATACCGTGAACGTGACACGTGGGGACGAATTAAAAGCTGTTGTTGCACCGGCGAAGAAGCAGATGGTTTATGGGTTTCTCGCTCGAGAGTAGCGCGAAATAACCGGCCCACGATATTGCCCGCGCGATTTGCATTATCGTACAAAGAAATAAATGCCAAGGTCGGCTCTCTCTCACAGATAGAGAAGAGGGGCCGCCCTTAATTAATTTAATCATCGATGAGCCTTCCCCGATAATCCGATACACGCTTGTACTCGCGCGCTCAATGTATCCCGTGAGTATACCCTTGATCCGAAATTCATTAAGGCGATAAGCGGCATCCGGAGATGGTTTTAATTGGTTCGTAAAATTAGTAATGACGATTTTTCGATCGTAGCTACATAGTGCGAAATTTTAATTAACCTCTCTCTTTACGTGCAAATGTGTACTGAAAAAATGATTTGGTAACAATTAGCAAGATTTGGTTAAATGGTTTTCAATAAATCGTTTGGTTATTGCAGCCATATCATTTAGTACTATATACTGTATATTGTATTATGGTAAAAATATATATGATACCAAATGATTGCAGTGATCGAACAATTTAGTTAAAACTATTTAACCAAATCTTGGTAATTGTTGCCAAATCCTTTTTTGGCGTTCGAAAACGCGACGGATTCGTCCTGGGGGGTCTGTCGAAGCGATTGACGCGTTCGCAAACGAACATTGCGATCATCATGTGCGAATTGGTCTTCGCGACATCGGAGGCGCGTCTTGTAAAGAATGTACGCTGCATTCGGCCACCCGGTACGAAACGGATCTCGCACGCGTGAAATACGTCGAATACGCGCGAATACAACGTGTCTGCGAAAATCCATTAAAAGCTGCCATGGCAATGGCAATGAAACAGGTGCTGCGTGCGCGTTTTTAGGTCGCAGGCATCACCGTTAAATGGGATGCTGTGCTTCGTTCGAGAGACAGGCGTACACGTGTCCCCACGGCGAAGGCCGATGATATTTATCCCCGTACGAGCGCCTTCGTGGCGCTACGTGAGCATGTCTGATAACGGTGATGAGACTGACGAGCCTTTGATAGCTATTGGCTAGAACGCGACGAACGAGGACTGCAATGGACAATATGAGCGAATGCACGAGGGAAGTGTGATAAAAATAAGTTCTATACGAAGTACTGAAATAAAATAGTAACACAGAGACGGAATTAAATGATGTGCTCGAGTAAATAATAATATACGATTGCTAAATAAAGCGATCGAATAAGCGACGCGATAAAAGTAAGGTAAATAATTAAGATAAAGTAAAGGCGAAAAATTGAAAGATAATGAGAATAAAAAATTGGATAATCAAATAAGAGGTGACATGGAGACGAAGTGAAACGTTATAAATTATTTCACAGTGCGTAAAACCGGAGAGAAATAACGTATGCATGTGTACAGTCAAAGAAATGTTCCCGTTGCGGTAGCTTGGGAGAGGCGTGATAAATGATGAATATAGCGTCATGTACATACAGAGAAAGTCCGAGATGTAATGTAACCATCCGACAAGTTATCGTCGCCTTACGTCGGCGATTACGTAAGAAAATGAACGAGCATACGACCGGTGGCTTGTAAAAGCGATCGATCCAGAATGCGGGTTAAAAGGAAAGCAAGACCAGAATTCATCAATTTTCCGGGTATTTAGAACCTGTCTGCTTAACTATACCCGATAGCCTGCGACAGCCATCTGACATTTCGTCGCAGCCGTTTTTCATAATTGCGTCGTTATGTACGTACTGTTATGTGCAACGATATTACCACAGGCGCTAATTTCCGGCATACGTGCCAATTACTATTCATGCCGTGATTCTTTTTTTTACCACCACGCCCGCTGGCTTATTTTGTGAAACGCGAACGAGCACGTTAGTACGCGGGGAAGCGATGCTCACATGAGACTCGCGAGAGTATCAGTCGTGTAAGAAAAATTCCCGTATTAGTGGCATCTAATTTTAACGCAGTCGCTACCGGCGTCACACGTGCATGTAACGCATCGATCTCGTACTTCAGGCTCATCTTTATTCAATATTTCTCAATTCTAGTTAACAAGTTCGCTACCAACGTCACGTACGTGCACTGAAAGGGAAAAAGTGCTATATTCGAGCAAATATTTGCTAAGGGATGTATTGGAGTAATTATTTTACTTGGATAAAATAAATATTATTTGAATGTAGCATTTTTTTTCTTTCAGTGCGCTACGTTAAAGTAATATTTATTTAACCCAAGTAAAATAATTATTCCAAGAAATATTCATTAGAAAAGATTCACTCGAACGCACACAATAAAAGCATTTTATATTTATTTTAAAATCAGTCCGTATGAAAATTTGTGTGTTGAATTTTTAACATACCTGTGCATTAATTTAACATATTGTGTTTATATTATCTCAATATATTTTGTGTTGAATCGATATTCAACAAGTATAAGTGTTGAAATAATACTTGTAAGTGTTAAAATTATACGTTTTATACTTCAATGTCGATTAACATGAACATATATGGATATTAATTTTATGTTAATTTTCGATATAATGTTTGTGTCATTGTATATATTGTGTACTTTTCAACATATTCACTTTTTGTCAAATTATCACAAAAATGTATATAGACGGATGCGAATTTGACGAGAAATTATCCAAAAAATATGAAAGAATACGCAAAGATTCGTGGATATTTAGACATTTGGCAATGTCGGCGGACAAACGCACAGCGAGGCTTACCTGCGCGGTTTACCGGCGAAGATGCGCTCGCCGCGGTCCGCACGTTCCGTTCTTTACGAACGATCGAGCGCGGCCACGAACAATTTGCTACATCGCGATAAAATTCGCAGACTATTCTCCTTTGTTCGCCAACGGCCAGCGACTCCGGCCGTGATGCCGATTCCACCTTCGGTTTTCTATCGGCGGCAGGAATCTCAAGGGTCGGAGGTGTGCGCGTCGCGTCTTTATTGAAAAAGAGTCGAATTTACATTCCAAAGGGAAAGATATCGCGGCTCTCTCTTTCGCGCACAAAGTTACCACGCCGTAATTTACAAGAGATAAGAAATATCTCTCGTGGGGGTATTTTTCAGCAGTGAATGCTCATCCGCACGTTGTTCCGCCGCGTCTGAATGTGATCGTAGAATAAAAGATTCATCGGTTAGTAAAATATCTAATTACTGTAAAATTTTACGAAGGTAAAAGGTGGCCTAACTAAAAGAAGAAATTTAACGAACTTTCAGGAGCAAAGCACGGATATTTTATAGCGCCATTTAAGGAGGTTTGAACCTTTGATAAAACATAAGATAAATCTGTCATATATAGAGTGTCTCAATACAAGAAGAACACCTAAATATCTTGAAGGCCTAAATATGGAGATCTTAAAGACAATCGAAACAAAGGACCGTAAAAAAATTTTTCCTTCCATGGTATTCCTCTCTCGGGACTGTTCAAATTGTGCTCTAAATACATTTCTTATATAATTAAAAACAAAGAAGATATATATGTAAATGTTCTTCTTAAACTGGGACACTTTGTATATATGATACAAAAGTTAATCGAACTGACAACGCGTAACAGAAATTCACTAATAGTATTATCTAAGAATTAATATCACAATAATAACGTGCATCTCGTCATAATTATCATAATAATACAATAACTTTCACGGACATGCGACTTATATGTTACTACACCGAGGGAAAAGTGATTAAAACTCTCTGAAATTATAGTCATCGCTGATAAAAATTACTTTTGTGACTGCAATAACTCCTCTACGTGGTTACAGTCACACGAATACCAAACACTTGTTTCTCAGTGTGTGCATTTGGCGTCCATCCGCAATTGGAATACTTTAAAACGGTAATAACTAATGCCATCTAACAGCTGTCTTAAATCTTAAGAAACTCCTCTCTCTCTCTTTCTCTCTCCCTCTCTCGCAGTTCGTTTGTCTCTTTTTTTCTCCTCGTGCGAACCGTACGATCATAAATTAGTTATGAAATCGTACGCGCGAGGACGGACGCGTCAGTGTTCGGGCACGGTGTATACCGTTGAAGAACCACGTCGGCATTCCACGCGAAGTCGCGCGTATACTCCGCACTCGCGCTCGAATAATCGGCGCGCCTTTGAAATTGCTCGGCGCTTGCTCGCGAGTCAAATTGTCGGCCGTGGGCACGTACCTGAGGGACTTTCCAGGATGGGCCGAGGATAACACAGGCGAGATAAACGCGAAAGAAATTCCTCCTCGTGCGCGGGCTTTAATAACAGCCTCCTCCTGACTTGTTGCGCAATAAATCCGATCACACGCGGACATCCTCGCGGGCGCAATAGCGATAAATTCATACCGAGCGTCCGAAGGTTTTCCAGCGCGCCAGTCGGCCAGCGTTCTCTCGGCCGGGCTCTCCTTATAAAATTCCCCGCAGTCGATTTATTTCCTCGGCGAGCGTGTACTTACCAGAGGGGGGGCAGGAGGGAACGCGCGAAATTACGTCGAAGAAGCGATATTAGAATTTTTACTTCGCCAGCATTTTACGACAAGACCGTCCTTTTCACCGAAGACGAGGCCCTTCTCTTCCCTCTTTCCGTCCGACGATATTTTCCTGAGTACCGAAGTATGCCTCTCGTTTCATTCCGAGTGGCTCGGATGCGGAGTACTCGTTCTCACGTCTGAAAAGCGCAAGATGACGATTGCTCCAGCCGTCGAGACGGCAATTCGACTGTGCGCGGAGGAGTGCGCGAAGCCTTTCCCTCACTTTCCCCCTCGGCGGCGCCAAAGCGTTGTAATTAAAATAAAAGAAGACAGTACACGCTTCTCTTGGATTAATTTGCGTGCATTTAAACGGCCGTCTGTGATCTGTGCAGCCACTGGAAAATATGGGCTCGGAAGCCTGGGAGCTGGAAAGGAGGTACTCGGTGCCGGGAGCCTTGGACACCAGAGGCCTCGAGCCGCCAGCCAGCGAGGATCTGCACGCATGGTCGATTTACAGGTGAACACTTGTACTTAAAGTAGAAGCGTATAATCCGCGTAGAGTCCCCCTTCCGTACGATCTAAATCACCGGAGGCGGAACACTAAAGCGAATGCAAGAGTGCGATCTTTTTTGCCCGTTCACCACGCGGAATAAACGGCCGCTCGTCTTTATTCCCTTACTATGTTGCATACATTTTCTTTTCCCTTTCTTAATTAACGACATTATCAATATTCTTATAAAGAAACATTAGTATTCATTATTTTTGTAATGCTGATGTTATCATTGTTATTATTATTATTATTATACTTGCGTTAGTTACACACGCTTTTCCTGTAGATGTAAAATCTCTGAGAACACTGGTCGGATTTTTCCCCTAGGTGGAAATCATTTTACTCTTCCACACTCAACATCGTGATTATGAAGGGGAATAATAAATACGTCTCATTTGTGTTCTCGTGTAATTTTTAATCGCGTACGATGAAAAAGAATATTAACACTCCAATCCACTCGTTCGAGTAAGGAATTGTTATCGCAAATCCCTTCTCACATAGAGAAAAGAAATTGGTTGTTCATATAATACAATTGAAATTTAAGTACTACCCTGCACATGTTGATTTCATATACGTTTCATAAACGTATGGAATGTTTCATCATCGTTTATAAAACGTGTCGAAAACGACACGCGCTACTTGAGCAGATTTAATTTTTAATAAAAAAAAATAAATTAGGTACAGAGATAAGGAAAGTTAGCTAAATTAATTAACTTCCAGTTGTATTATGGACAGCTAATTTTGGCCCGTGGGAGCTAGATATTAGCTGTGAGATCTGATTCTTTTTTCCCGCGCGAAGATCCACGGTTGAACATTTCCTCAAAACCGTTCCGCCGCGCGTGTAAGAGGAGCTGTTAAGCGCAGCGGAATGTCGATGTATGCGTGTAGTACATGCATTTCCGCAATTCTACAGGCAAAACCTGAACTCCGACTTCACGGACTCCGCGCTCGGCTCCGCCGAGAAGTCGCCGCTGCCCTACGGGAATTTCCAGCTTCGCGACTCCACGGTGCAGAGCATACTGCGGCATCCGCGATACGGGCCGAAGAGCCCGCTGGCCAATAATTCTTACACGTACTTGAAATTCGGCTTGCCGCGCGTTCTGCCGCCCAGTTCGCGGAATCGCGACGGTTCCAGTGGCTATGACTCCAGCGAGGAAGGACGACGCGTGTCGCACGCAGGTATGCGCACAAATCACGAGTAACGAAACATACACTGAGAAATAAGTACTTAGAATTTTATTTTACAAAATAAAGTAATATATATATATATATATAAAGTAAATATTCGCTGAAATAAACCTTATATTCCACAAATGAATTGTTAAGTACATTTTTCTTACTATATAAATTATATAAATATAAATTACTTCGACGAGGATATCTCGCTCATTCGTTTTTTCTCTGATTCATTATAATTCAATTACTTGGCTATATTTAGCAAATAATTTTCTCTCGGGATGCGCGAGAAGAAGAGAAGATTGGATTGAATTAAATTCAAGCCGCAATGACAGTGACTTTATTAGATTAATTTAGAGATTAATTGCGTCGCTATCATATCATTACGTAATATAAGAATTGTTATATCATATGTCAGTATCAAATGGTGCATTTTATGTAGATATCTTGAAAACAGAATTCCACAGTGTGGAGGAAACAATGTCTGGTCGTCTACTTACCAGTCATGCCCAACACGCAGGTGCTCCTGTGAATGCGACTTCAGTTATGCGTTCGGCCAGAAGTGATCCGGATTTCAGGCATGTCCACGCTATGCCGAGGGAGCAGGCGCACTCTCAGTTGACTGTGGCGAGGGACCATCCGAGACTGAGGAGTGCCAGCGAGGCCAATCTTCTGCAGAGCGCAATCAGGACCAACCGTCGACATAGCATCGCACCGATCGACCCTGGATACATAGCGCATGGTAAGATGAATTTCAATGATGACTTTGCAATTTTCAACGTATATCTAATAACATTAGTCAACGAATAACAATTCTATTTTTGCCAACATAAAGATAAAGCTGTTTCTTAATGATTGAATAAATTCTTGTTAGAAAGAAAAGAAATGATCGTGCTTGCTTATATCATAAATTCTTTGTCTTCTCGGCGAAAATTTCATCCTAAAGTGTTTCTCGAACGGAAAGCTCCGATTACTTTGATCGATTGTCGGGTTCTCCCGATATCGGGATTTTTTGAACTTTGAACTTTCGCCACTGGAACGGATCGGATGTACGATTGTTCCGCAGGGCACGGTATTCTTGGGCCGGAAGGTTACACGCTGCCATTGAGACCCGTGCCGTGCCTGCAGCATCCGCATTTGCAGCTGCGAGGTGTGGAGGCATCGGGCTCGGACGGGCTGCCACTTCTTCGCGGTATCACCTTGGAAGCCGGTGCCGCCGAGGTGCTGGCCGTCATGGCGACTACCGAGAAAGAAGGCACGCAAATCGTCGAGACAATTGCTGGCAGAAGGCGCATCAAGAGAGGCGATATTCTGCTCAACGGAAGATCCGTATCGGCACGTACCCTGAGGTACTTTCCAATCTTCTTCCTTCACGTGCGCTTTGTTGTGCGATTCACGCCGGTAAACCACCACGTGTGTTGCGCAATTGGTAACGTAGCTTTGAAAAATAAATGTTCATTTTATCCGTTCCGGGGAATTTATCATTTTTGAAAAAAAGTACGAGAAAAGATATGTAAAACTTTTCAATAAAGATAAAATCATTAATTCTTTTCGCTTCAAGTGTTGTTTGCTTTACAACGCAAAGGTAACGATATCTCTTTAGTCACCTAACGATTACTTTAATGATAACAAATAATAAGAATAACTGGGTGAAAAATGTATATGTCCGGTTTCGATAGTGTGAGTTGAACCTCAAGTCGATTGATCGATTTGTTCCTTTATAGATCATAAACCCGGCTATGACGTAGGCCGGAGAAAGAAGCTAACCGCGGCTAACGGTAACCGACATTAGCGAAACAAGCTATAACTAGCCGGCTGTAACTAGCAAACGTATTAGCATGCAAATTTAGCCGTATAGCCGAGTAATAAGTTGAATAAGTGGTACTTATTATTCGATTATCACTTCAACTGTTAATATAATTGTTGTTGTTCTGACTATTGTTTCATCCGTAATCTTGGAAAAATAATTCTCCAGCTTCGCGTATTATGCAAACATTCCTTTCTAATATCTCGTTTATCTTACGAAAGCCTACTTCCTGGAGATTATTCAATCTTACGGAAGCCTATTTCCTGGAGGTTATTCAGTACAGTAATTTAAATTTAATTTCTTTTTTATAAATAGCAAAAATACTATTGAAACAGTGTAAAAAATAATATATATACGATATATATATATGTGTAGGATAAAACGAGGTAATTGCGTTTATCAAAGCGGAAACTCTCATACAAGTAGTAAGAAATGTCAGATTCAGGATCTGCTTAATGCAATGGATACTTACAAGTATTTACTATAATATAGACCGATGCAAAAAATTTCATAAACATATGTACTAGAGAGAATGAAGAAGCAAAAAATGAGATTCGATCGGGGTTACCCCGATTTCAGGTAATCGCCGATCAGCGATATTTACCGTGTATAAAACCAGAGAAGATGCACATTTCACTGAAAACCGAACACATTTATTAAAGAAGAGATATGACAAAAGTTTTTCGTGTAATATTTCGAAAAAATAGTCAATCGTTTGATTTGCATCCATCGCAACGATACCCATCAGGGATATCCCTGTCAATGCAATTCTCGTGCGCTCAAAGCCTGCAAAATATGTATCGTACACCTTCGTATACCTTAAAGTAATGTTGAAAGACAATCGAATAATTTCGTTTAAGAAATTCAGCGAAACGGTTCAATGATCAATAATCGTAACGAAAAACCAGATCTCGCGTTGCTTACCTGCCAACGGAGAGCGGCCTGAGTCCCGGCTTGACGGCTCAACAAACCCTGAGCTTCTACATGCTGCTGAGGGGCGGCAACAACACCACCACGCTCGAGGCCGAGGCGATTCTGCAGGAGCTCGGCTTGGAGGCGACCAAGCACTGCCTGGTGAACACTCTGACGACCTCCGAGGCCCGACGCCTGGCTCTCGCGTGCCGGCTGCTTCAGGACTCGCACATCCTCGCCTTGGACAGACCCACGCACGGTCTGGACATCTTCGACGCCTTCTTCCTGGTCGAGTACCTGAGACAATGGGCTAGCCGTGGTCAGCGGCTCGTCATCCTAACCCTACATCCGCCCACTTATGAGATCCTGACGATGGTGTCGAGGGTCGCGCTCACTTCCGGCGGTCGAGTCATGTACTCCGGACCCAGAAGAGACATGCTGCCATATTTTGCGCTCGCCGAGTTCCCCTGCCCTCCGTTCAAGAACCCGTCCGACTATTATCGTACGTAAAATCAAAATTAACGTTCGATTTTGCAAATAAGACGCGGTGATCCCATCCAATTACTTCGCGATGAATATTATTAAATGTGTGCACAAGGATGTTAAAATATCCAGTGCTTTTATCAGTGACAGTTCGTAAAAGAAGTTGAAATTCGAAAACGTTTCATAGCCGAGAATAAATTTAAAAAATAGAAAAATAGAAGGGAAACCGAACGAAAAGGTTACATTTTCTGGCTATCTTCGCATTTTTTGTGTCTTATCGATTTAAATTCCTTCTTGGATATTTCAGTAAAATGGCGGATAATATTACATTAAGATTACTCGTTCTTCGCTGCAAATGTCTTTGTTTGATGACGCCAGAAGCGAGAAATCGTGCGCCAAAATCTATTACGGTATACATGGAGATAGAAGAATATCTGCAAAATAGCACTCGTGATCGATTCGGCGCACTTTTAAAAATGTCCGAACGTTTTCCTTCATCAAAAAAGGACAGACATATCGATAAGCCGTAAAGAGGAAACATTTTAGTCTCGACTTAACTTCATCCACGAATTGTCCGTTCCAGTCGATTTAGTGACGCTGGATGACCTGTCGGCGGAAGCGATGCTGGAGTCCTCGCAAAGGATAGACCACTTAGCGGAGTTGGCCAGAACGAGACTGCCACCTCTCAGTGATCCCGGACCGCCCGGTGCGCTACCTCCGCCGACGTCCGGTCCTAACATATTTACGCAGATCTACGCGTTATTATTGCGAACGTTGATCTACAGCCAACCGTGGACGTTGACACGATTGTTGCGCAAGATTATCATCTCGGCGTCACTCAGTATCCTACTCGGCGCGATATTCTGGGACGTGGCCGGCGATTCGAATTTATATCTGAGGGACAGAATAGGCTATCATTACGCTAGTTTGGGAATCTTTTTTTGGCCCCTGAGCCTCTTGGCGATGTGCGAGGTCGCTGACAGCAGACCAAACGTCGAAAGGGACATTCGGGACGGGCTCTACGGTAGATTTATTTACATCCTTATAGAGGTAAGTTTTTGACACGCGAAAGTAATCAATTTTATCGCAAGAGCTGAAAATAAAGTAACGGCGAAGAAATGAGAATCGCGGCGAAATATCCGAGACACGCCAAAAATACCGTTACTCGTAATCCCGATCGAAATATGCTCATAGTTATAATTCACGCGAATATAAAAAATTTTGAAGTTAAAAATATTAAACAAAAGATCACGTATCCAGTCAATGGAATCACATGGAATATCGATACAAAATCAGACAATAAATATTACTACCTCGAACCAGACAATAAACATTACTACCTAAATATTACTACCTTGAACATCTTCGAAAGATAAATAGGTTCAATTTCAATTCTAAATTTCTGTTTTCGCTGTCTTAACGTCAAAATAGATTGTTGAAGATAGCATTAAAACTTAAACTGTAGAATTAAAGATTCAAGAGAGAAGTTAGAAAGTGCCAGTATCATTAAAGTAGATTTTTATTAGTCTATTAGATCGTCTAACTAGGCACAAACTATTCTTAAGAGCGTCAGAATAGCATCAAAATTTCGAAACCCGGGTAATAATTATTGCTTCACCCCTGTTGCATTTTGCGAAACCTCGTCGAAAAGATGAATCGAGCGCGGGATTTTCCGTTCGCAGCTAATCTGCAGCGTGCCGTCCTGGTGCGCGGTCTACCTGATATACTTGGCGCCAGCGTTCGCGATGTCGGGTCTGCATCTCGTGCCGGACGAAAACCTAACGTCCCTGTGGAACTACCTCGCCATCGGCCTGCTGTACCTGATGCTGCAGCACCTGGTCTGCGTGTTCTTCGCTCACATATGCAAATGGACGTACCTGTCGGCGTTACTCGCCGGCATCGTGGTGGGCGAGACCACCTTGTCCGGCGGCGTGGTGCTGCACATGGACAATCTGTCGTCGTGGTACCAGAAGATCAGCCCCATACAATGGTCGTTGTCGATGCTGTTGCCACGTCTGTACAGGACCGAGAGCATGAGCAAACTCACCAACTGCAAGCCGAAGCAGATCCAACGGCAGGACATTATCATCCAGGCGGCTTGCGAGCCCCCGGACGGCGCGTTAGCCCTGCACGAGGTCGCCCTCGACAGGCTGAACGTGCGCGGGGAGCTGTGGCTGGGCATCGGTGTGGCTGCAATGGCCCTGCTGATTATTCTGGCTTTCTTGTGCTTCAAGTACGCCACCCCGAAGAGGCCCAGAAGCGCCCCGAACAAACCCTGATCAACTCGCGGGGGTCGAGGGGAGTCGCGTCTTTTACTCGCGAGCTGCAGAATCGAGAGACTGTACACTTCCGGGTGCCACGAAGGTCGATCTATAAGTGTTCGCGTGCTTTTAGTTAGCCTCCTTTGTTACGACAGAGAAGACGCTCTGGGGTCGTCTTCGACTCGTTCTTCGAATCTTTCATTCCATAACGAGAAATAGACCCCGTAGACCCTTGGTGGTCTACTTTTTCGTTCTTCTTTTTTTCTTTCTCCCTTTCCCTTCTTTTTATTTTTTACTCCGTCGCACTCGTAAAGTCTTGTTTTCGCGTCTACCCCGCTGCGATTCTTTAAAGGGACGCACTTTAGGGACTCGCAGGGTAGACAGGCGGTACTGCGGAGTACAAAGCTCGAGAAGACGCTCATCCCGTGCAATAGGAGGCCGCCGTTGTAGACGACAAATAAACACGCTTAATACTTCGTATATTGTCTTAACCGATACGTATCGTTGTAATCGTATGAAATAAACATTCTTATGAAACGAAAAATATCTTGGCCCATCCTTTGATTTTACATACACACGTACACATATACGTTCAGAAATCGTGAAACGGTTGAAAATTGTGGTTCTATGATTTTAAGTCGATGTCCAATATTTTTATCCGGATTTCACTATTTTTCAGATAAATATACCTGAAAGGAAGTGCCTTTAACTTACGAATACTTAAATCACGTTTGCAATTCATAAAACTGAAATCACGTGATTGCGTATGGGAAATTTTTCAACATCGTTTTCCCTTCGATTATTCCGAATCGACAGAACGTTTCTTTAGTTCCTTAGTTTGTCAACTTTTCACACGACGTGCCAAAATCGATAACACGGAAGGGAATTTTACCAGCGGATAGCAGCCGACAGCTGTTTCAACAACGGGTAACTGATTTGTTCAAAGTTAGCGTAGCCCACTCGTAGGCTCCATCTAGATATTCTGGATAACCGCCGATACTGAAGATACCTGTCGAGTAATTATGAATTTTCATTAGCGGACGAGAGGTCAACGTTAACAACGAGACCAGTACGTTCATGAGCGAAGCAACGTCCGTTTTTACGAGATACTTTAGAAGGACACGTGTTTCAACGAAGCGCGCGAGTGGCGTGGAGTGTATTACGGGGAAAAAATATAAATTTAGATGAAAAGGAGAGTTTATCGCGCGCACAACGACCGGAAATACATTTCCGCACAATTCTGTCGCGCGTCGTTCGGGGATCGATAAAGAGCCCATCCTTCGTAGGTGCCGCACACTACGCAAATCGAGTTTATAAAGAGCCTATGAGCGTTAGACGTTTATTAGAAATCGATAGCACGTCGAGCAAATTTATCCCGTGGATGACGCATGTTAAGAAATGCGAAGTGCGATTAAAAATAAAAACAACTTGCTCCTTCGTCCGTGCCGGCGGCGGCTGGCGTCGTTACACTCTCGTGCGCGATTTTATTAAAGAATTGGATTCCAGTTAACGCGTCTCCGCGGAGAGGAGAGACAGAGCGAGAAGAAGGGAGAAAGAGCGCGTGATAACCGAGTATCGTGAATTTATTAAGCAGATCTGATTTTAGCCGGTATCGTCCTCTATATTTAGCGTCGCGTTTAGCGCTAAATGCGACCGCCCGACTCCGAATTTCAATTTGTCTGATATAGAGAGAGCGCATCCGGCGAAAATCAGACAGTGACGTTCGCCGCTATCGAATGCTATTTCGCCGCGGCGCTCGCTTATTTCGCGCGATCGATTATTTTTATTCAGCTCCTCGCCGAACTCTCTTCGTCATCGTACGAGGAACGGGCACCGCCGTAATTATAATTCGCTTTTACGTAAGCGCTTACTTTCATCGCGATCGAGCTTGCAATTAATTACGCCAATTAGCGCCGACGTTCGTCGAACTCAGCAACGTTCCGCGCCGCGAGAGATCGTTTATCGTTATCGCGTCTATCTCCGTCGGACGATCTCATGAGCAGATATGAGAGCGGATGATAAAAGTGTCAAGAATGGAAGTCACGCTGTGATTCATATACGCATACTCCCCCTATCTCGAGTGGTATCGCGTTGATTCGTCAAGACTGCGGACGTTTTGAGGAAACGTATGCACTACAGGTCGCCGCAAACGCCCGATGTTCTTCATCGTTCTTGTGTGAACTGAACTTCCAGGCAACGAATGCCGCACGGGAAAAGGAATTTGCTTGAATTTAGCAGACAGTGAACAAACCGAACACGTTTTGATCGAAGGGAACAGAATTTCTGGTCCTTGCGACACAAATTTGGTTTTTGTAACCGGAAATTCTGTTTCCTTCAACTTAAACGGCGCTCTTTCCACGGACGCTCGAAAATCTCTTCGTCCGTTTAATTATTAAGTTGACGATTCAAACGCTCCGGTTACCGGTTTTCGGTAAAATTCTTATTTCAGGTTGTTCCAAGAATCATGTTGGCTGGCATTTTTCTCGGTGTTATTAATAACCGCTGATAAAAATTCCAAACGCAAACTGTGACGCAGTCTGTACGAAGGCGAATAATTAAACGACATGCCTCCAATGACGCGGCAAAGCCAACGTCTAACGTAAGAGAAGTTTGGAATTTTAGGGCTTAACAAAAAAAGCCCCGTTCAAAGCTTCACTCGCACCTACACATTCGATTTATTCTTCACACCAACGAGTGAGCGACGCGATCTCGCTTCGGCAATATCGTTGGTAAATGTCCGTGATATCGTAAAAAATGGAGATTAGTATTTCGAGATAACATGCTTAAAATCATAAACATGTGCACATACACGCTATCCTCTCTCTCCTCTCTCCCCCCTCAGGATTTCTATGTATTTAAATAATTCCACGCAATATTAATTTGTGCGAGGAGAAATATGAAATGTGGAATTCTGTTCGGAACCAATATGTAATGTCTGGCTTTGCTCGCGCAAATATCACGCCAGCGTGAATATCCGTCGGTTTTGAAATATGAGACGAGAGAGAAAAAAAAGAGAGCTCGGATTACAGCCGTTAAATTAAATCTACAAATGAACGGGTTTCTAACAGAATCGATATTCCGTCGCTGTTTGCGAAAGCCTCGGTGTCCCGCTTTCCTGCTGATCGTATTAGGCGCGGAAATTCGTTACGTAACACGTTACGAGCAGACTCCTTAAGACGACGCGCGCCGATCCTTTAAAAGGGACTATCCGCGCGAGTATCGGAATTCACAGCTCGGACATCGGGTCTAAATAAAGCGAAGTCGTCGGCTACAATGAATCGGGTCTCCTTTGTAACTCGCTCATATCAGCGGTACAGGGCGCTTCACGTAGTACACGCGCCACACATACACACACATTACATCATATCCCATTCCAATATCCGTTATTCCCGTCGTATCATATCGCATCGGCGAATCGTATCTCTCTCTTTGACGAGAGAACCTCTCTCGAGTGAATTTCAGTAGATTGTCCACGACGAATTGAAAGTGCGTCGGAGAATCTTAAAAAGGCGATTCAAGGCGTTCTTCCTGGTCTCTCATAGCGGGCTTCTCGGATCTCCTTCTTTCGCTGTACAGTTCGCGCCGGGTCTCTTACATGTGGGACAGCCAGTACAGTTGATTTCTCAATGAATCGACCTTTGTACGGCCGGCCCACAAGAAACTCGTTCATCGCGCTTAGGAGAGAGAGAGAGAGAGAGAGACGCCGCGGGATGCCGGCGAATTATTGCGATACGACGGAAATTGAGGATCGCGCGTTTGTGTAACGTCGCCGAGGAGAATTACCATGGCGATTTACGTAATGAGTCTAAGAGAGCGCGCGCTTTTCCAGGAATTATCGTCATGCCGTCATGCGACCCACGCCGCCGGGACTTAATTACTTTCATCGACGGAAGCGGCCGTTTGCAACAGTAATCGGCAATTTATGCCGGCTTGCAAGACTAAGCTCCAGTAATCAAAGGGTCGGCCCTTGATGATGACGCGAGTTCGACTCGACTTTGTTGAGCGCGTGCCGGCCGTCTTCTCGCCTCGATATCCCCGTGCTTTCACAAGCGAGCAACTCGAAAGAGACTTAGTGGAACGGGGCCTTGATTTTTTCGTTTCTATTTCTTTTCTTTTGAAACATTTCGGATATCAGCCTCAACGTAAAAGGTATCGAAGGCAGATTGTCTCTTCCTGAAATTCTTAAAAATATCGATTGTTCGACTGATCTTGTCAGGTGAATTGAAAATTGTTATTGTGATCATATTATTGAGTGTTAAATGTTATTATTAAGATACAGATACGGATATAAAGAATTCAGGATTAGACCGAAGCAAGCTAAAAAAGGGGAAGGAAATCGTGCAATAAGAGGCAGATAAAGAAAACCGCAAAGAAATTTCGAAAATGTGTAAGTCGCAAGTAGAAGGCGAGCCTATGGCAAAACAAAGATCGTATGCGAAATAACATTAACTGATAAAACTGATAAATAATTAATAAGTAAATAATAAATGTAACACAGTTACACGGAAGTTACAACGACGAAACGGCAATTAGAGCGGCTGATTAGAACAAAATCGAGAGAGAATATTATTAGTGCGCAACATCGCAATTAATATAAATAATATATTGTTATGATAAAGGCGATAAAAATACATTGTTATTGTGATCATATTATTGAGTGTTAAATGTTATTATTAAGATACAGATACGGATATAAAGAGCTCCGGATTAGATCGAAGCAAGCTAAAAAAAGGGAAGGAAATCGCGTAGTAAGAGGCAGGTAAAAAAAACCACAAAGAAAGAGAGAGAAAGAAAGAAAAAGAGAAAGATGAGCGAAACGTGCAAATCATTGTAGTTACGTCGCGTCAATGCATCATTGTGTTATAATATACTGAAGAGCGCAATCCGCAAGACTTTCATACGATAACCGTCGGTTACATACAAGCGGCAAGTGAAGCCGCGTTATTTCCGGTCGCCCGGTTCATCCTACGCGCGGCTATTGAAATTCCTCGATGCTCGCGTGCTGAGGTCGATATTGCTTCACAAACAATATCGGATTTGTACGATGTTAGTCTTGCTGAGTAAATATTAAAAAAAAAAAGTAATAGTAATAGTAAATATAAATAGTAATAATAACTCATAGTTTGAACGAAATTTTGTTACACACCGAGAGAAAAATATAGTTATTCTCGGAGACAACAATATGTTTGTTTCCTTTCAACCACAAAAATAGTAGTAGCAACATGCACGTAAGGTTATTATTACCGATGACTCTTGAGCAATTTTGTAGTTAAAATGAAAGAAGATATTATTGTCCCCGAAAATAACCGCATTTTTCTCTCAGTGCAGGCTTCAATTTTCATAGAAATACGCGTACCCGATAATTATAATCATTATTTTAATAGGAAACGAGATGATAATTTTTTTAATGTAAAAGATTCTGTGGTAAAACGGATGTAACGTAATGGGTTTCATATCGGAGACTTCGACACGTTCTCGTTTTCTCACGAAAGCCAGTTGCAAGTTTCGTTTCGTATAATCGAGTCTTCGATCGGGAAAAATAGTTTCCTCACTGATGGGGCATCTGTTATACCTTGATATCGAGTCTTCGAATTTTGTTTTGCGCCAATCTGTCCCAATTCCCCGCATTAATGCTGCGTTTATCTGAC